ATGTGCCATGGAAAAGTAGCCTATAAAACTATATCTATACTAAAAGCATTAGTATTGTAATGATTTAACAAAATTAATGACAAACTAGAATTATCAAGGGAATGCATAAAGGTACTTTAGATAGACATAGAATCATTACATTTAGATAGCACAAAACATACAGACATTGTTGGGAATTTGGACAGAGTTGAAATAAATGGGTGATTGTCACAGATACATGGATGAGACTAACATTATAAGGAAATCTTTTATTGCTTTGTTCCCTTAACATGTTGACGAACATCATTCCTTTTTGCTCAAAAGATCTATATGCAAATTAAATAAATTTCTAGAAACACCAAGATTTTGACAATATGAAACTGTTTATTCTTTTATCAAGCTTAGAACAGGTTCCTCTCACTATAAACTGTATGATTACTTTCTTTAACATGTTAAATTAAGAGACTGGAGGTTCAGGATCATTTTGCCCCCCATAATCCAGAGGGCTTAGAGAGCTCAGAAAATCAATTCCATCAGAATCAACAATAGTAGTACGTTCTCTGCCCATACTGAAACATTAATCTATACAAACTGGTTCCAACCATTATTCACAAAGTCTATACATAAATAACTTCCTGTTTCATTTTATGGAAACAATGAGTGTTCTACCTCCATCCAATCTAAGTGAAAATTAATTTTAACATCTTTTCAACTATTTTCTTGTAATGTTATTACTTAAACCATTACACTTGATAGTTCTAAAGTTGAGGTATCAAAACACATAACAAACATACATCTATATGCCTCAAATTAATCTTGTTTCATGAGGTTGTATAAAATCGGAGTAAATCCTGTGAATGTAGAGCTTCTGGTCTTAAAGCATGATACCAGAACACTGATTCCACAACAGATGTTAACACATGTATTTATATGTAAAATCAAAATATATATATGATGCAGCACACAGTTAATAATAAGTAGATAGTACTTTATTTGAATTTCTAAATACATTTTAATAGTTCAGTACAAATATCAGTATCAAAATATTAAAAGTAAAAAATATTCATGGTGCAATTTTTACAATTTCACACTTTGTTTCAAACTATACAAACATTTCTTTCTGGATTCAAATAGTATTGAAAACATAAAATGTACGTTACAGAACATTTTCATGAGAAAAGTTTGCAGTAGATAATCTAAAATCAATTGTTAAAATATGATGGTATCGTGTCATGACAACCAATGTTACTTTCAGCCAGTAATTTTCTGGATTAATTTTAAGGGATATTTGACCTTCTTACTTTAAGTGGTTGTTTGAATTATGTAACGCACCTGCTACATTTCGATGACTATTAAAGTCTGCTGTTTATGAAACACTCTGTAATGCAGTACTAATATACATGGATGATATAATCGCATATGGAAAGACCTTTGATAATGTTAATGTGCTAATTTCTAGATCGGTTGAGAAGAGACAATTTTAAGCTGAATCCCAAAACGTGTGAATTATTCCATCATCACATAGTCAGCAGAAAAGGAGTGTCCACAGACCTATCTAAGACTAAATCTCTTCAGAACTGGCTAACACCAAATAATCTGCATGAGGCAAAAGGATTTCTAGGATTGTACTCTATCACTGTTTTGTAAAATCATCCTCCCACATAGCTAGTTCTCTACACAAATTACTTGAAAAACCAAACAAGTTTTGTTGGACTGCTGACTGTGAATAAGCTGAAGAAAGAACTGACCACTAGTCCTATGTTAGAATACCTAACGTTAGATACATATGCTAGTGATTTTGCGACTGGAGCACTGTTATCACATAAACATCATGCAAAAGAGCATGTGATCGCCTACTATAGCAAAGCAATGAATAACGCAGAATGGAGGTATTGTACAATACTATAAGAGATATGAAGTATTGTCTGACTCTAAATCATTTCCATCATATATATATATATATATATATGAGGACAAAATATTACAAACTGGAAAGAATAATATAAATGCTACTGCATTATCCAAAATTCGATGCATTAATTAAGAGTATAAACACTAAAAAAAGGGAAGCACAAGACTACCAAACTATTATGTCAAAAACTGGAAGATAACAATAGAGAGAAACAGTGACTAAAATGATACTTCCACAGTTTCTACATTCTATAGCACTCAATTATCTATACAACCTTCCAACAGCTGGACACTTAGGTATTAAGAAGACAGCAGAGTGAATAAGAAAGTGCCTCTATTGGGTTGTGTGTCAGGGATCATGGTAATACAAAAAATAACCACTAATTATTTCCTGCAGAAAAGATAGTCTTCTCTCCATCTGCTTCATTGACTTGTTCGTGCCAATAACTACTATTATTTAATTTCATAGTTTTTATTTGTCTTAGAGTTGCTGGCAAAACTGCATAAATTTTACATATAATTATTTTCATGTTCGTGGTAGAGAATCAGAACGTTAATGTATATTTTTATACCATGTATATTTCAGTAATCACCTGTAGTTCAGTAACTTTCACTTCTTGTTCAAGAACCATGACAATCTATGATTAACCCCATTACTTTTTAAAGAAATAAACTCAGTAATTCCATGAACATAATGTAATAGTGATTTGAGTTAAACCTTATTTCTGTATTACATTTCAGTAGAGAGACTTAAAATATAAACTTGTTCAGATAATTTGAATTTAAAGCTGCAGCAGCGTTTACATGAAATTGTTTTTATTTAATTAGACATTCAAATGCTTTTGAAGCTTTGTACTGTCAGTTTCGGTTTGTGTTTTAGTGGAACGCTCCTGTAGAAGCTGTAAAGCGAAACGTGGAGTGTGTCTAATTAAATAAAAACAACAATTTGGTGTTATAATGTCGTTTATTTCTAGTACTAAAATGTCATCTATACACCAATATGTACTACAGAAATTAAATAATGAGCATTTACATGAACTAACTGAATCTCCGAATAAAATGTGTTATACACAGCGTGGTCACAAGTAAATAGACACCACCTTTTCAGAAAAAAATGAAATTTTCAGTCATATTCACATGAATTGATATTTTTATAATTTAATTAATATCTAGTAGATCTTCCTTTCGCTTCGTGGAGTTCGTTGATCCTTTGGGGCATCGTCAGAATCATCTCGTCAATTTTAGATTGTGGGATTTTCGCCCTCTCTTGCTTCAAAACTTGGAGTAGATCGCTCTTCCAAGTTGTTTTTTTTTTTTGTTGTTGTTGTTGTTTCTTGACTTGCCGGTCGAGTATGGCCCAGAGGTTTTCGATGGGGTTCATGTCAGGAGATTGGCTCTGCCAGGGCAACTTCTGAATACCATTTTCTTCCTACCACTTTTGGGTGTTTCTAGCAGTGTGAAACGGCGCTCCATCTTCCTGGAACAACGTTGTGTTCTTATCCACGAAACCCGAGGAATAAAGTGGCAAGAGTCCTTCCTCCAATATTTCGACGTATTTCGCAAAATTTATGTTGCCAACGCACTCCACTAGGCTCGATCTCCAACCAACCCAA